GCAATTCATTTATTTGAAGAATTTCAAATTTTTTGAGGTAAAATACCTTGTTTGGATGGAGAATTTATAAGGAATTTGAAATTTAAGCATTTGTAAAATTCCTTGAAATAGTAGAATTTTAAATTCTCCCAAAAAAGTAAGAATTTAAAATTTCTCATTTTTTTTTCTTATTTCAATTATATATTTTATTTTATCTCTTATCTATTCATGTTTTTAATTATTGAATATTCAAAAATATTTTTAAAATTATTAAATATTATCTAATATTAAAATTGAAAATTATTAAATATTTAAAAATTAGCTAATATTTATTTTTATAAAATTTAATTTAAAAATCCCAACATGTAAATATATTTTTAAAATTAATTTTACCATGTAGAATCAAATTATCATATTCAACCCAATAATTTAAAATTTGATAAATTTGAATTGACTTATCCAAACAAAATATTTTAAGAATGATAAAAATTGAAATCAAAGTAATTCAAATACCAAGAATTTAAAATTTCTTGAATTTGTAAAATTTCTCATCCAAATACACCATACTTCTTCTAAGATATAACGACACATGTGGAATTAAATGATAAGGTCACCCCTCAATTCTCTACGAGTAAAGCACACTCAGAGTTTAAGAAAGATCTTATGGCTACGAGACAAGAGACTAATGAACCATTGAGGTAACACATTGCTAGCCAGTAAGGAAGCCATGTAGGTTTAAGGCTTGTTCTTTAATTGGGTTGAGCTCCACCTCAATAAAGAGGGTTAATAAGAAGCAGAAAATTTCATTTATTATAAATAATTACTACATGTGGTTCTGATTACAAGAAGAAAGAAATATTTTAAATATCAACAAATTTCAACTAAATTTATTTCATTTAATTAATATTGATATCTTTAAAATACTCTTCATTTAATTGAGATTATATTTTCAATGATCTTTTTTATTCTTAATTTAAATTTCAAAAAAGGATAGTTTAGAAAATTATGTTATCTTTAAAATGAAATTAGTGCAATTAAATGGTATTAACTAATTTTTTTAGTTAGCACAAATCATTTTTTTTGTTGTTGTTTATATTTAGAAGCAAAAAGAGTAAATTTAAACTTGTATAAATTTGTTTGATCTTAACCCAATTTTTATGAGAAAATTTTATTTTGAAAAGGGTCGGGGATGAATTCAAATTTTCCCTACTTTGTAGAAGTTAGGTTTTAAAAAAGGAATATTATCATATCATACATATATATATATATATATATATATATATATATAGAGGAACTGAGGAAGGATCCTTTTACTCCAAGAGTAAGTCTACTTAGACTTACTACGTTCAATAACTTATGTTTTACATCAAATTTCAACGATCTAATCTGTTCAATTTAAAGTTTTTAATGGATAGATCAAATTTATAAATTTTTAGAAAATTTAAAAATCATTTGATACTTCATTTTATTAATTCGAATTTTTCAAATATACGTTATAATATTTAAAAAGTATTTTACAAAATTGTAAGTTACTAATATGAATTTTAGAATAAAAATTTGTGAATTGTTTACAATTTTTTTTAAAGAACAAATTGTACACACGCATATATATATATATATATATATATATATATATAATTCATGTGAGAACAACTAATTATTGTAAAAAGTAATAACTTAAAACAAATATCATTAGTAGATCATATCTTAAAAGTCAAGATAATAAGAAAGATAATATGGAAAAGGCTCATGAATTCTTTTAAGTGGTCATGATATCACCATGGTGACCTGTAATCTTGATCATCCATGCACGTATGATTATATTGTACAAATTTATAGTCTTTAATTAATTCTCATAATAATATTTTTTTTAAAAATCAATTCTCATAATAATTGTGTTCATAGAATTGTATTCCATCGATCATGCTAACTTATGTTTGTTATCTTTAACAAAGTTTCCCGGTTCTTGCCTTAAAGTTTGTTTATGACACACACAAAACAACCTTTATGTCCCAATCGGCAAGGACCAATGTTCTGCACCTTGTATGTTTTATCTTCACTTTATGTTACTTACAACCATGAACTTTGCATTTGAGGACTAAAAACATGCTCTTTAGAACTCACGGTATTCGCTAATTAGAATAATGAACTAATTTTAAAGCTTACCACATTAGATTTTGAGATTACATTCCTCTTCCTTTCCACAATCACAACTTCCAATTCAATCTCCACCCCACCCTACAATTCCATGCTTTGCTGTTTGAGTAGGATTTGAGGTTGTTGAAGATGATTGAGAGGAAGCGAAACATGATCTTGAAAGCTTGCAAGATAGATTTTAAAATTAGTTTGTTATTCTAGATAAAGAAGTTATAAAGCTCTAAAGATTATTTAGTCCTAGAGGTTGAGTTAATGGGTTTGTGAGACAAATATGAAGAAGTAGAACCATTTCCTTCTAACTAGAACACGAAGGTAATTTTATGTGTTATATTAGAGGTGTCAAAATTGATTTGATTCGTCCAATTAAATTAATCCAGTTCGACAGATCAAACATATAGTAAAATTTAGGTTCAAAGAAGACCAATCTTATTTGATTTATTTTTTATTTTCTTTTTAAATTATATACGAAGTATTAAAGAAAATAAAGTGGTTAAATTTGACTCAATCTATGACTATAAGCTAAAGAAAACATGATCTATATAAAAAGTTAAATTGGTTCATTTCAATTAATACTTTGTAAAAGCTTTTATGAGTTAATATTTGAACTAACACAAAGGATGGAATATAAATTCAAATATATTTTTTATTTTTTCCAAATTCAAGGAGTACTATGAAATATCAAATTCAACTTTGGGTTATAACTCTTCAAGTTTAGCCTTAAACTATTTAAAATGGTTTTCGTACACATGGAATATACGAATGTGCATGTACTTCTTGTCCCATATAATATGCTCTATTAAAGTTAACAAAGATGGGTTAGGAGTTGGATCAAATGCGATGAATAAAAACATAGACTCAAAGGCTATTTTTAATTTTTGCTACATTCTAATACTAAAATAATAACAAGTGCCAAATTCAAGGACCAAACAGAGGATTTACTTAAAAAAGAACTTATATTAGTTCTTTGAGCATGACCTTAACAAGTTTAGAATATAAAGATTAAGATCTTAAAAACACTTATAAACAGTCATGAATCAATTATTCCATATACGTTTAATAATATCACTTGATTTGTTGCTTATAAAGACAAAACACTATTACCCCACTCACACATAAAGTCCAGATACTCAATTATCAACATATACATAAAAGCGTTAATTAAAATAGTTATATTCATGGTAGACATGCTTTCTTATAAAGCTTTCATTGTACGACCACATGTTAGAAATTAGAACAGTGCATCTGTTTTTTGTTACAAAAGATAATAAACACAAAAAAAAGACAGAAATTAATAAAGCAACCAAACTAAACACGGGACCCTACAACTTAAGGGTGTTGATGGATTGAATATTTGAAAATTTTAAATCGGATCAAACCGATCTATTTAAAAATAGATTGGCTAATTAATCTATTTTTTTAAAATAAATTGGTTTAAATTTTTTTAATTGAATTGATTTGGTATGATGTGCTTATCCATTTTTTACACATATATTGATTTATTGTCATTGCACTTGCACAACAAGGATATAAATGTAGATGTTACTCTCTATGCATTATGAGAGGCACAATGACTTTTGAAAACTCAAAAAGCCTCTATGTTTGCTTCAACAACTGCCAAGCAACCCTATCATTTGCCTTCTCTAAGTCCAGCTTCATGATCATGTTCCTTTTTTTTCTCTCTTGGTTCTATTTATCCAATGCATCACTTCTTGCAACACAATTACGTTATCCATGGTATCTCTCCTAAGGACAAAACTACTTTAGAGTGGACTAACCTTAAAGGAACGGTCTCAATCTATTAACTAAAACTTTGGAGATTAATTTATATACCATGTTACACAACAATATAGGTCCAAAATTCTTTATCATTATCAGGTGATCATCATCCTTTGGTACGACGACCATAAGTGCTTTCGCAAGTTGCAAATTAAAGGTTTCTGTCTAAAATGTCTGACCAACCAGCTTCCACACATCATCCTCAACCACATGCAAAAACATATTAAAAAAGATAGGTTGAAACTCATCTGCAGGGTTTATGAACTTCCTTCTTACTAACCGCCTAGACCCCTCAGACCCTACCTGAGTACAAAATAATTAATTCCTTGAAGAACATCGTTGCCTCCTCTTTCAATCTCTCCAACTTTGTGCACCAATCCCCGATAGAGAGAAACAAGCCATGAATATGGTTCCTCTTCCTCCAGATAAATGTTTGAGTGTGGAAGAAGGAAGTATTCCTGGTTCCCCACCTGATCCATTTCTTTCTAGACTTTTGAAACCACAATGTCTCCTCTTGAAATAGAATTTGCTCATACTCCTAGAGCAACTCCTACTATAACAACAATAGCCTTTTGAAGTATTTCTACTAGAATAATGCATTGGTTTCAACTATGATATCATTAGGTTCGCATTTATTGATCCTCTCTCTATTTATCTATCATTTGCATTATTTACTCTTTTGATATTATACCCTTACTTTTTTACTTAATTTTTTTATACATAATGTACATTTAATATGGAATAGAAATTAAAAAGAAGTATAATAAAAAAATTTAAAATTATTTTATATTACATTTTTTAATTTATGTAAAAAACCTTAAACGACATTTAAAGAGAACAATAAAATAACATATATAAGAAAAGAAAAGAGTAAATATTCCTTTTAATCCCTTAAATTAGTAGATGTTGTTATATTAGTTCTTAAAATTAAGAAATTATTGTGAAATAAATTTCTAAATTTAACAACACATTTTGGTCTTGTATTTGTAAATATTTATTGAATAATTTTTTAGTTTTAAGATGTAATATAACAATGGTTTTTAAACTAAAAAAAAATAATAATAAAGAGAATTTGGAAAGAGGAGAAATTAAGAAACATTAATATTTGATGATATTCATGGATGGAGGAAGTCAAGTATAGGCTGTGCTGCGAAACTTTTTGGTGGTGCACGTGTTAAGAATCTTAAGGAGGACATGATTGTTGGTGCACCTGGGGGTCTTGAATTGGCTCAAGGCTGCCCCATTGGCTATGAAGCTATCCAAAATCTTCTTAAAAGTCCCTCTCTCCAAAACGCACAGCTCCAAGGGCCCTATGGAGTTGGTTTTCCTGGAAACCACGTAGCCATGATCAGCAAAACACTTGTCCATTTCTGTGCAACATGCTCCAAGGACCTTGTCCTCTACCTTCCCCTTTATCTCCCAGTAAATCACGTAGTGCCCCGGTTGGTTTGATACATCTGCGTAGCTTGTGAAATCTACCAGCTCCCCCTTTGCTTTGTTCAGAATTTCAGACCCTCTCTCCACCACTAGCTGAAGGTCCTTTTCTGTGTTCTTGTCTATGTTTACTGTCAGAATTAGCTTTCTTCTGCACACAAAGTTCAGCTTTGGTGTCCCTTTGTGGAACCCAGCCACCTCCACCACGTCGCCTAGCCTGCACCTGTACAGTCCTGAAATTCCATCATATATATATGTGTACTAGTTAACTTAAATTACAATGTTAAACCATATATTAGCAAAGACAAAATTACTATGCCTATTATTATATTCATATAATTTGTGTTCTCAGTTCACTTGAATAAACGATAACAAAACCCTTGTCCCACTAGAGATTCTTTCTGGTAAACACTGTACAAAAACTGTTCCGCGCGTAATGAAACTCTGGAATGATTGTAACATCAACGAAAGTAACCATAGAATGCAACCAAGTCTCTGGTGTGTCCAACATATTAAACGTGGGTTGTTTTTCGTTTGGTCGGTGCATGCCCACCCACTCTCGATTTTGCGAACCAATAATTGTTTCCAGGGTAAAATATAATTTTTGGTAAAAAAAATTATGAAATCAACTCTAAAGGATTAAAAACATATTTTTAAATATTCTTTAGGAAAGTAACCTTTATGAAACTAAATATGTATACTGACCCAACTATATATGATCAGCATTAACCTGAAAAAATGAATATGTATTTAGACTAATTAATTTTTAAAAATTCCATTTTTATAAAAATCGAAAGAAATATGCACACAGCTAGCACAGGACTATCCATTATTGGTGTGATGCCCATTATTGGTATGCATTTCAGTCCACGCATTTTATATCTTTCATGATGCCATTTGTATGCATTTCAATCATAAATCCTCCTTTGTGCATCTAGCTATATTCAACCAATATTTTTTGGTCAGATGCAACTAGATATTAGACAGGACCAGGTTCATGCTATATCTTTGCATATGTGGCAAAGATGAAGCTTAATCGCTACTTTCTTGAGCCAGTGACTCTGGGCATTATTTTATGTACGACACTAGGTCAATCAAAATGGCCTTGCCGAAATATGAACAGTTCATATGTACATATTGGGTAGGGTAGCTAAAGCCTAAAGGCATTTACTACTAAACAAAAAGTCAAAAGATGCCGATGCTCCATGGATCTAAATTCGATCATTAGTCATGTTCAATATATATATATATATATAT